CTTACGGGGTGCGTGGCTTGCCTTCACCTCTTAGCATTAAAGCACATTCCACCAGAAGTGTAGCATCTTCTCAAGCTCTTTTCAGAGGAGCACTTTTGGAGGATATTTGTGTTGCGGCAGGCTGGTCCTCTCCGCACACTTTTGTAAGGTTCTATAGCTTGGATCTTGACATGACCCCGGGTTCCCAGGTTCTTTCTGTTTGAACTCATTTCGGTCGTTGTCTCTTTTATCTACCAGTTTTAAAAGCGCTCTAGCTTGGCGAGTTTGGTAGTCCGTTCCCACTGCGCTTTCCGCAGCGTTGAGTGAACCTATGAAAGAGAACGTCTCTGGTTACTTGCGTAACCTATGTTCTCTGAATAGGGAACGAGACGCTGCGTTAGCAGCCAAGCTCCTCGCGCTGTTGACAATTTCTTTTCGGCAGAGAAATCTGAGGAGCAGATGGCGCGCGCGCGAATATGTAATGATGCGACGTAAGAGCGTCGGGGCGGAGCCATATCGCGCGGACGCCATCAGCCAATGAATTGGCGTGATTCTATAAGGCTTCAGACAATCGGCACATTCAGAGAATATCCCACTGCGCTTTCCGCAGCGTCTCGTTCCCAATTCAGAGAACATAGGTTACGCAAGTAACCAGAGATGTTTCAAATAGGAGCCTAAATTATTTAGCTTAGCTTGTAGCTCAACCTGAGCGTCGGGTTCGAGGACAGCAAGCCAAGTTTGTTTACCATTAACTCTTAAAGGTGCTGTATGTAAGTTTTTCACTGTACTAAAGCAGAACAATACCATAATATGTTTGCATATTTTGAGGAGAAAAGCACTACAGCCAGTTATTTTACTTTGAAATGTGTGTTTCCAGGCTGGAATGTTTGTTATTGTTTTGGTCTGTGAGACTCTAGTTGCCACTTTGCCAATTTTCATTGTCCATTGCGCTCGTTCCTGTTGCGTGTCTCAAACTGGCGACCCATGTGAGCGTCGAGTCTGAGGAGGCGGGAGAAACGACGATCTCCGATATTTTTAATTGGACTGCAGTATTCCATTATAGCGTTTGTATGGAAGTGAATCCGAGCGCTCAAGGTATACAGGTCCTTCTCAAAAAATTAGCATATTGGGATAAAGTTCATTATTTTCCATAATGTAATGATAAAAATTAAACTTTCATATATTTTAGATTCATTGCACACCAACTGAAATATTTCAGGTCTTTTATTGTTTTAATACTGATGATTTTGGCATACAGCTCATGAAAACCCTAAATTCCTGTCTAAAAAAATTAGCATATTTCATCCGACCAATAAAATAAGTGTTTTTAATACAACAAAAAAAAGTCAACCTTCAAATAATTATGTTCAGTTATGCACTCAATAGTCAATACTTGGTCGGGAATCCTTTTGCAGAAATGACTGCTTCAATGCGGCGTGGCATGGAGGCAATCAGCCTGTGGCACTGCTGAGGTGTTAAGGAGGCCGAGGATGCTTCGATAGCGGCCTTAAGCTCATCCAGAGTGTTGGGTCTTGCGTCTCTCAACTTTCTCTTCACAATATCCCACAGATTCTCAATGGGGTTCAGGTCAGGAGAGCTGGCAGGTCAATTGAGCACAGTCATACCATGGTCAGTAAACCATTTACCAGTGGTTTTGGCACTGTGAGCAGGTGCCAGGTCGTGCTGAAAAATGAAATCTTCATCTCCATAAAGCTTTTCAGAAGATGGAAGCATGAAGTGCTCCAAACTCTCCTGAAAGCTAGCTGCATTGACCCTGCCCTTGATAAAACACAGTGCACCAACACCAGCAGCTGACATGGCACCCCAGACCATCACTGACTGTGGGTCTTTGACACTGGACTTCAGGCATTTTGGCATTTCCTTCTCCCCAGTCTTCCTCCAGACTCTGGCACCTTGATTTCCGAATGACATGCAAAACTGAGCAACAGTCCAGTGCTGCTTCTCTGTAGCCCAGGTCAGGCGCTTCTGCCGCTGTTTCTGGTTCAAAAGTGGCTTGACCTGGGGAATGCGGCACCTGTAGCCCATGTCCTGCACACGCCTGTGCACGGTGGCTCTGGATGTTTCTACTCCAGACTCAGTCCACTGCTTCCGCAGGTCCCCCAAGCTCTGGAATCGGTCCTTCTCCACAATCTTCCTCAGGGTCCGGTCACCTCTTCTCGTTGTGCAGCGTTTTTTGCCACACTTTTTCCTTCCCACAGACTTCCCACTGAGGTGCCTTGATACAGCACTCTGGGAACAGCCTATTTGTTCAGAAATTTCTTTCTGTCTTACCCTCTTGCTTGAGGGTGTCAATGATGGCCTTCTGGACAGCAGTCAGGTCGGCAGTCTTACCCATGATTGCGGTTTTGAGTAATGAAACAGGCTGGGAGTTTTTAAAAGCCTCAGGAATCTTTTGCAGGTGTTTAGAGTTAATTAGTTGATTCAGATGATTAGGTTAATAGCTCGTTTAGAGACCCTTTTCATGATATGCTAATTTTTTGAGACAGGAATTTTGGGTTTTCATGAGCTGTATGCCAAAATCATCAGCATTAAAACAATAAAAGACCTGAAATATTTCAGTTGGTGTGCAATGAATCTAAAATATATGAAAGTTTAATTTTTATCATTACATTATGGAAAATAATGAACTTTATCACAATATGCTAATTTTTTTAGAAGGACCTGTACAGTAGGTGCATGGCGGTAATACTCCAAAGGAGTGAACGGCCATAAAACGAAAGAAGAAGAAGAAGAAGAATCCGAGCGCTGATGATACGTTGGATTATGTAGCTGAAGCTCCGTATGCTTTTCAATCGCTCTCGTGGGACATTGATGTCATAAAACGATCGGTCTGTGCCGGGTCTGTGCAGCGCAGGTGCAAGTCGAACAAGCCTATTAATAGCATAGGGGGCGGGGCTTCAGATTCTAGAGAGCATTTGATTGGACAGAAGATGTGATGAGAAGCTGAAGTCCGCGATGATGTCATTAAAATTAGTGATCCATTTTAGCGGAAGTGAGTGTAAGTTTTGAATGTTTAATATCCAAAATGTTCTCATCGTTTTGGAACACACCAGCTTATTCATAACCTTAAAGCTAACATATTCTAAAAGCTACAAAACCTAATTTTTTATTTCAGGCCTTTAAGACTGAATGGGCAGACAAATTCGTGAATATGCTGTTAAAAGCATATGTAGTCTTTAATATGTTGATTTTTTTCTTTTTTTGCAGCAGTAGTATGTATTTTATTTTACAATAAGACCAGTAACAAACATTAAGAAAATAAATGTTGATTTCATAGCTAGTAAAGAGCTGTGCCATTGCAATTGCAAATACTTGATGAAGCTCCCGCATGCTTTTTTGTTTGATAAGTTTAAAACAATCAACATGATACGACAGTGAATAAAATGGCAAATGGAAGTGATCAGTGTAGCAAAAAATAGTAAATACACGTGTACCATTGAGGGAAGAAGTCACAACCAGTATTTATTCTCACATTTCACTAAATGTATTGGATGACAAAAACCATTGAAAACTTCACATTACATTCAAATGTTCAAGAAGTGATTCCCAAGTTCAACAGGATAGTCAAAAACAGCATTAGCACATCTAAATGGTGCAAACGTCGTATGATACCTTATTTTATTAAATACGATAAAAACAAGAACTCAAATATAATTGCATAAAGGAATGGATTAGATAACGTCAATGTTTCCAGTTTATGTAGGAGGCGACCACAGCATCCGTTAGGATTTACATTCCCTTTCGATCCACAAATCTCAGAAAGTTAATCATGACGGTATGGTCCTATAATAAAATAATATCATTCTTATCACTTCGTGTGAAATCATGCTTGATACGCTCCCTGAGTTCAGAGTCATGATTCAACACGGCTAACGTAAAAGGCATTTATAGGTCAAATAGCGACTGAGGATAAAACATAAATCTGTCAGATGAGGCTGATTGCAGTGCCGTCTTTAGTACAGACAGAGAAACCACTAAATAAACTGCACAGAGCAAGAAATCAGTGCGATGACAACAAGTAAAGCTCACCAGTATCACATGATGGTTGAGGTATTTTGGAAATAATACTGAGAAACTTGAGGTATATAGGAGCCAGAGTCTCTTTTACATTGCGGAGAAGATGCAGAACACGTTGCTATAAATAAATACTATAAGTAAAGGATAATAATTGGATTACATAAACAGTGCGCATATATCTATATATTAAATATGCTTTAAAGTCTTTCAGCTCCTCCTGTAAAATGGGAGTAAAAGGCTGTTAAATACATTCCAAAACAATACAGGCAGCTTGAAAACGGAGCCAATGTCTTCAACGGGCAACATTTGTTCAGAAGAATAACTTATTTCTCTCTATCTCTCTCCAAGAAAACCCCTGAGGCCAATTGTCAAGGACAAATAACAAAATATATCGCTAGCAAACATACAGATCAGCAGCATTTAACACGAGATAGCAAATATTTGACTGTGGACTGAAGCTTAGAGATAAAAGTGTGATTGATTATTTACTTTCATGTCTAATAGAGCGTGTTATTGTTTTGAAGATAACCACAGATCACTAGTGACAGATTTGGACACGTGTAAAAAAGAGCCGCTGGTTTACGAGAGCAACGTCAGCGGGTTTAACATTCATTTGGTCCCTGGTGATCAGGACAGTCTATTGCAAAATTGGCAAGTTGCCAAAATCCCCAATTCAAACCCACCACCAAAACATTTTCATAAAAGCATCAAGAAATACCAGAAACATTCAAATCAGTCAATCATCCGTAAGAATAAGACGTTTTTACCAATCGCCAACTCAAGACGAGGAAGCTCACTTCATGAGATATGAGGAAACTACTGCAGAAATACACCAAACACTGAAATTCCTGAGAGCAACTCTATTCCTGAGTGCTAGACCGCTAACAAAAGTGACTTTCTTCTTTGCTTTTATAGACCTGAGGAAGTTCCAACAGCAGCATTATGCATTTGTTTTTTCCAGTATAGTGAAATGATTGGTTTTCTCAGTTGGTGGGTGAATGACTGTGCTCCTCCTCCTCCACGATGGGACCTGCAGATGTCCCCTGAGAGCCCTGCGGCGACTGCTGGGCTTTGGCGGGACAGTTGGCGACCATGTGCGCGACACTTTGGCAGAAATGGCATCTTTTGGGTTGCGGAGGCAACTTGCACTCTTTGGCATGATGGTCCAGACCGCCACAGTTGTAACACCTGTGGAAAAATTATAATCGGAAATGTATTAATGATTAAAAACAATCCCCATAAGGGTTAGTGCCCGACGAGGTGTCCACTGTCAGGTGTTAATGGACGACGGCGAGGCGTGAACCGTCCGACGCGCAGCGGAGCTCCGCCGAAGTCCATTAATACCTGACAATGGACACCTCGAAGGGCATTAACCCGCTTATACCACGGTCACTTGCCAAATAACACATTTTTAAAACATTAGTTTTTATTTTTAATTAGTTTTACAATCGAGATCTAAAGTTTTTACAAACAATAACTTGGTTTAGAATTATACCATGGTCTGGGTGAATACTCGATTCTGATTGGCTGCAGGGTGTCCATTAAAAAGTGATAGAGGACACCTAGTAAAGGAGTTCTGGTGAAACTGTTTACCGTTCGAAATTAATATAATGCGCTGACTACATCGGCTGTGAGTAACCATAGCAACAGGCAGTCGAAAGTGTAACCATGGGCGTTTTTAAACGAAAGTGTAACTGTAACGAAGTGTAAAGTGTAACGAAAGCCGAACTTACATGAAAAATTCTGGCTCGTAAGTTAGCTAAACTGAAGGGCTCTACGAGCTGAGCGGACTATAAATATCTCCGGTTGCTAAATAAACCGTCAGGCGTAACCAGGGAATTAAAGGGTTATTTCACCCAAAAATTAAATTTCTGTTATTAATTTCTCACCCTCTCGTCGTTCCAAACCTGCAAGACCTTCGTTCGTCTTCGGAACACAAATTAAGATATTTTTGATGAAATACGAGAGCTTTCTGACCCTTCATAAACAGCAACATTATTTCAACTTTCAAGGCCCAGAAAGGTAGTAAACACATCGTTAAAAGAGTCACTGTGACTCCAGTGGTTCAACTTTAATGTTATGAGGCGACGAGAATATGACTTTATTCAACGTTTTATTCTCTTCTGTGTCAGTCTCCTACGCTGTTGACGAAGTGTAAACAGTGCAGCGCTTCCTGGTTCTACAGAACGCTGGCTCATTATTGGCCGATGTTGGTCACGTGAGCACCTCGACACACGTGTGTGATGCGGCCAACGACGAGCCGGCGTTCTGACGTAGAACAGATGGAAGAGTTCGGTGGGAGTTTGCCCTCCTCTACGGGTTTGGAACGACATGAGAGTAATAGACCTTATTCACAGCAGCGCCATCTTGGATTTTTATTGGGAATGAAAGGAGGCTGTGAGGGACAGACATGCATCTCTTCAATGGGCTGTACTGTTATTTGATGCGGTTTTGGATTGCTCTGCTCATGAAACACTGGAAAAATATCTTTTCAAGAAATTTCAGTTGACAAAAAACTCCCAACAATATAAGCTGTGAAAAATTGTAAGTAATTTAGGAGCTTTATAAAGCTTTTTACTAGCCTGGTTAAAACCAGAGCATTCTCAGTTGTAACTGAGTTATGGTCTGGCAAAGCGTCATAGACAAATCATTTCCAGAGGGGCGTCACCAACGGACGTCACGGATAGACCTAAACCCAATCAGAGCGATGAAGATGATGACGTATGCAGAGCGGCGGAGAAACATCTCGAGTGTTGTTCTTTGCTCGGTTTTTAACTAAAAGGAAACGTTCAAATGGCTTAAAACAGACGCGATAGCTGATTGGAACGAGTGATGTTCGACGGCGGCATCCATCTTTGTAATGTCGGCTACAAAATCTGCTTCAAAATCCCAGCGCTGTCGTCATCGTGTAAAGCCCGCCCCAACGCTTCTGATTGGTTGCCTCGATTTCGGCGGATTGGAAATGGGCTTGAATGAGCTCTTTGCCAGACTAACTTTCAGAGCAAATCTAAATTTGCCGGAAGTTGTCTGGGTTTTCCCAGGCTAGCTTTTTACAGCAGATGCCATTGGAAACACTGCAAGTCAATCCCTCACAGCCTCACTTACATACCTGTCATGGTGCTCACTGAATAAGGTCTATTAATGATATAAATTTCATTTTAGGGTGAACTAACCCTTTAAGTGAAAGTGACTTACAGGATTACAAAGCCCTTAAAGGACATGGTGGCGGGGAAAAAATATGGGATGGGAGGAAAAAGTAAAAACGCAAAACTTTTGACTTCTTTGCGAGCGAACGCAGAATTTCTAGGGGGGAACACAAAACAACTGCGAGAGAACGCAAAAACATTGACGTAATTTTCATCACCATGTCCATTAAGGTCTCCGTAACTTACTGAACCGTTTGGGGCATATAAAATAGTTAGTGAGTGTGTCTACATGTACAACAAAACTGCTGGAGACCATCGAAAAGCAGGCCATTCTAAAACTTTCATTTTCATGAGATATGTGTGTGTGTGTGTGTGGCTTTTATGGCTTATATTCATACGATATAGTGAGAATCTGGAGCTCATATTTGAGTAGGAAAAAACACCTAAGTTTTATTCAGAGGCTCAAACTGAGCAAAAAATATGTAATTTTGTGCAGTTGCTTATTTATATGGCCAAAAAAATTGTAATGTAAATCAATAAACTACTTAGGCTTAGGCTACATAAAATCATATAGATATCAGCTGTCCAATAATATGTCGTAGTAAGATAATATCTAAATGCTTAGTTTTAAATTAAGATCTGTAGTTTTAAAATATAATATAATGCAATACAATACAATGATTGAGAGATGAACTAATAAACTTTCCTCAAAAGCCTGATGGATCATATTTAATGCATTTTAACATGATATAAGAAATGATGTATGGATAATCAAGTAAGCCTACAGTACGTTGCTTCAGTCCAGCGAGTGTTCATCTTGACATATTACTAACAATATATAAGTTATTCTTACTGTACGTTCACTTTATAAAAATCAGAAAAGATTTCACAGCAAAAAGACTGAAGAGCTGAATGTGGACGTTTTTACAATTACCCTATAAAGTATGAACTATCAATCAGACAGAAGAAGGCATGTGGTGTATTTAGAGGCCTTTGCGTATCAAATATGAGGGTTGAAGTTCGCTAAACTGAGTGAGCACATATTCCACATTTCCAATGAAAATAAAACGTGGCTCTTTTACTCTAATAAAGCGTATTGTGAAAGTGTTCAATCGCATTGACACAAGGATCTCCCAGTGGCATATGGGCGGTGGGTTTGGGTCATTGATGTCCACTCGGCTGAGGTCATGTGGGCGACTGAGCGCAGGGCACAGGGGACCTCAGGGTGGTTTACAGGCACTGACCCGAGGCCTTCATCAGGACAGTGTGGCACGGGCCGACAGCAGGCGCGGCGTGAAGAAGCCAATGACGCCCTTTGTTTGAGAAAAGCTGCAGCAGCAACCTATGAACTATGACCTTTTGCAGCCCTCACCCCCAAACACCCCACCCAGTCCCTAAACACATGCAGTTTCCATGGCGATGCTGACCCCTGACCCCTCTCGGGCACCTTCATCTGGTATCAATTAAATAAACCGCGGCGTCTTCTCCACATCCTCTGAGGTCGAAGCAGGAACGGAGTGTGTGTGACGTTCACACTTTATTCTGGCGTGTGAAAAACAAGTGTGATTAATTGTAATGAAAGTGCACTTGTAATCTTCAAATCTTGTAATAATTGTGTAATTGTAGTAATACTTCAAACCTCTCTCTCTCTCTCTCTCTCTCAGGTAATATTTTAAATGCTACTACAATTAATGGTATGAGTTATCATCATCTCATACATCTATTTTGTAACTATTTTAAGTGTAGCCGTAACCATATTTTGTCATTAAACCTTTTCTCTCTCTCTCTCTCTCTCTCTCTCAATACATATATATATATATAGTAAATACAATTATTTTGATGTGTTGCCTAACATACTAAAGCATATGTAAAATACCGTACTTGATTATAATTGTATCTGTAGTGTGTTTACTATTAAATTTAAAGTTAATATGTTTTAAATGTATCGAACCGCCACTTCCTCATTAAAAATATACTGTACATGTCATACAAGTTTCAATAGAAATTACATTAAAGTAGCCTATATTTTAGTTTACCATAAATGCTTGTCAGTAGTACATTCACTTTAACCATATTTTTTAAAGACGATTGAAATTAAATATAAAGATGTACTTAAGAGGGTCAAAAAAAGCACTTAATTGCATTAAATATAAATTTAAACTACAATATATTTCCACTTAATTTGAAATAACATGCAATTACGTGTCTAAAAATAATCCATTCAGTTCACACTCAAGTATATTGTTTTAAAGTATGTTGTTTCTGCAATAAGCACTCTTTTTAAAAGTGTGCTCACAAGGGCTGCTTCAGTAAAACAATGAGCTAGTCCACGGAGCTGATGAATAATCATGATGGACAGATGTTAGACCTTCTTAAAGGGGCAACGCGCTCCAGGGATGTATCGACCCTCTGAGGGAATAAAGATATGCGTGGAGATACTGGCTTTCACATGCTGGCCCAGATCATACATCTATAACATCCATCTGGAATAAATTCCTTGCTTTAGGTATGCAAATGGACTGATAATTCTGAGACATAATTTTTTATGTTAAAAACTGGGTGATAGCTAAAATTGAAAGTTGCTTTCAGTTGTAAGCATTTTTTTAACAACCTCAGGATTGGGGGATTTCCATCAGGTATAAATGCATCAGTGACCAGGCGTTTTAACCAGTTATTGATCCGGGTCACATCGACGGCCCTAACCGAGGGCAGAGGTGGGGGAAGGGGTGAGATTACCCAAACACATTTTTCAGATCAAAGAGAGGGACTCCAGGCTCTCCCTTATGAGCTGCTAAAACAAACACACACACTATAACACTACTCACTGATATTGAAGTGACAACAGGCGAACGTTACCTAAAGGATTAGCTATTTCTACCTGTAATATAACATAGTGACAGTGTTTTTACATGTGCAACAAATGCTGATCAATATCACAAATCAGGTCATTGTAAAAATGTTCCTTTCCGTGAGATTTAATTTTTGCTTTTTTCTATTTAAACAGTTTCATTAATTGCATGTGCACATCAAATATGCTGGAAGGGTAGCAATAAAAGGATTCAACGTCAAAGCCAAACCGGCTACTAGAGAATATTTACGGCCCTGAAATGCCTTCCGAAAAGAAGCAGGGTTTGACAGTTAAAGCCTTAAAGGGATACTCCACTTTTTTTGGAAATAGGCTCATTTTACAACTCCCCCAGAGTTAAACTGTTGAGTTTTACCGTTTTTGAATCCATTCAGCCGATCTCCGGTTCTGGCGGTACCACTTTTAGCATAGCTTAGCATACATCATTGGAGTGGACAAGACCATTAGCATTTCAAAAAAAAAATGACCAAAGAGTTTCGATATTTTTCCTATTTAAAACTTGACTCTTCTGTAGTTACATCGTGCACTAAGACCGACGGAAAATGTAAAGTTGCGATTTTCTAGGCTGATATGGCTAGGAACTATACTCTCATTCCTGCGTAATAATCAAGAAACTTCACCAAGGCGTAATGATATGACGCAGCGCCTGAAAATAGGCCACCTTCCGTCAACACAACGGAACTATTTTCAGGCGCTGCGTCATATCATTACGCCTTGGTGAAGTTTCTTGATTATTACGCAGGAATGAGAGTATAGTTCCTAGCCATATCAGCCTAGAAAATCGCAACTTTACATTTTCCGTCGGTCTTAGTGCACGATGTAACTACAGAAGAGTCAAGTTTTAAATAGGAAAAATATCGAAACTCTTTGGTCATTTTTTTTTAGAAATGCTAATGGTCTTGTCCACTTCAATGATGTATGCTAAGCTATGCTAAAAGTGGTACCGCCAGAACCGGAGATCGGCTGAATGGATTCAAAAACGGTAAAACTCAACAGTTTAACTCTGGGGGAGTTGTAAAATGAGCCTATTTCCAAAAAAAGTGGAGTATCCCTTTAAAGGGTTAGTTCACCCAAAAATGAAAAACCTGTCAGTAATTACTCTCCCTCATGTTGTTCCAACCCCGTAAGACTTTCGTTCATCTTCGGAACACAAATTAAGATATTTTTGATTAAATCTGAGAGCTGGATCACTCCTCCATAGGCTTCTTAAGGGATCGAAACTGGCCGGCCCAAAAGTTATGAAAGACATCGTTGGGTGAACTAACCCTTTAAGGTGTGGTCATAAATCAGAATTTTAGCAAAATTGTGCAGTCAAACCGGTCCACTGTCAATATTGTAGCGATGTATGAAGCACAGCTCGCACAAAAGTCACTGCCAAACCAAGCTAATTTTGCCAAATTGAGAGATCAACTTCTTTCACTCTGAAGGCACCGATATACCTTAAGCGAAATCGAAGAACGAACATGTGTGACGTAATTTTAAACAAAATACGGCCAAAACAAAGTTTGTTTTGTGTTTGTTTCGGGAGTCCTGGGGTGTTTCCCACAACGCCGTAACTCGCTCCTTCACTACCGCAGTACGATGCATCGCTGAAGAAATCAACTAGCTCGTCACGACTGTTTCCCCAAACCATATTGTCGCAAAGTGGTCGTTCAACCACGCTGGTTTATGACGTCACGCACGTGTGTAGTAATAACTTATTTTAATGAAACTGTTTGAGATCGGATTAATGCTAGATGTTTTGATATAAATTACAGACATGGCATCTGAGGAATATTTCTCAGTTATTTTACTTTATTTCCAGATTCAATCATAGACTCGTTCTTACACACTAGAGCTCGTTCACACATGCGCAGTCTTCAAAAACGGTGTTTTAAATCTCTTGACAAACTCAAAGACGTAAATGACATCTGTATGTATTCTAAATAAAGACACAGGTTGCACTGAATGTCAGCTTGCTTATTTTACTCAAGATCAGGATTTATTGAGTCCACATGTCATGCAAACTAGAAACTGCTTCTAACCACAGCTCGAGATCTGTCGCTCACACACACACCTCTGCGATGCTGTTTGCGAATGTTCGTTGGAACGATGGTTTCGGGAAACACCGACTCGTTGAACTGCTGATAACGACAGAACTTGCGACCGTAGTTGGCTAACGATGCTTTCGGGAAACACACCCCAGTGCAGCATCATCACGAAAGTTTGAGCCTTGCCAATTGAAATATTGAAGTGTAAGAAGACGCGAAGGGGAACTCAATTCGTTACACGGTATGTGGGAAGTTTTCTGTGCGCAAACACCCGAAATGTGTTTCAGACTTGCGCGCGAATACTAATTTTAACTTTCTTTAATCTTCTTGCGCTTGAAAATGCCCGTATTAGCGAATATCCTTATAAACATAGTCAGTTATGTCTTAAGTGAATGTAAACAGTTGAGAAAGAAAATGCATGTGTATCAGTATATTGAATCCTGCATGAGGTCTTAAAGTGACAGCAGCCTAATATATAGGCCTACCTGCTGCCGTCTGTGTCCTTAATGTTTATCAAACAACAAAAGACAGAAAAATCACTCACTGCTCTTGACTGAATAACTTTAATAAGGATTAATCTGTTTAATTTATACAGTGAAGAATATGCAGTGCTAATTTACATTTGATTACTTTTTTTTTTAAAGTTTCTGTACCTGAAAATTTTACATGTTCACTAGTATCTAAAATGTTGGAGTCATAACTGCCGGTTTTTGCAAAAACAGTGTTATGGCTGGTAAATTTTCTAAAGTCACTGGCCACCGGCAAAAATATAGTTTTAGGCCCTGACTTCACTGGAGGGGCGCTTTACAATAGAAACTGAATCTGTACTTCTAATTGAAAGAGACACTGACACTGTTTTTCATGTTTAATACTGTAAAGCTGCTTGATTTGAAGCGATCGACAGTATAAAGTGTTATATAAATAAACGTGACATGTCTTCACTGCTGAATTGCAGAGCTGGTGCAAACATATCCACATCACTATGATCAGATGCTTTCTGAACTGCTGTTTTCTCATCGTTTTCTGCACCATTTAGGGGTAAACTAGATACTAAAGTATACCTTTTAAAATGGCTTTTGTATCACTTTTTTCTGAGACTCAAACAAGGGATCCAAATGGCACAAATACTTAAAGGGATAGTTCACCCAAAAATGAAAATTCTGTCAGTAAACAAACAAAAATAACGACTTTATTCAACTATTAATTTCCTTCTCGAGTGAGTTCAACCCAGAAGCGCTGCGCTGTTACACTACGTGAACTATCTCGAGGCCCACAGAGAAGGAAATTAATAATTGAATAAAGTCATTATTTTTGTTTGTTTTTTTGCGCACAAAAAGTATTCTCGTCGCTTGATAAACTTAAGATTGAGCCACTGTAGTCACTCGGACTATTTTAACGATGTCTTTAATAACTTTTCTGGGCCGGCAAGTTTCAATAACATAGAAGCCTATGGAGGAGTGATCCAGCTCTCAGATTTAATCACACATATCTTAATTTGTGTTCTGAAGATGAACGAAAGTCTTACGGGGTTGAACAACATGGGGGCGAGTAATTACTGACATTATTTTAATTTTTGGGTGAACTATCCCTTCAAAATAAAGCTACTGGATTTTTGTTGAGAAAGACCCATGTTTCTCAGTAACAAAGAGGAACTGCCCCAGCTGTAGAAAGACTGTTTGAAGCTAAAGCTAAATATTTGAATGGTCATATTGTAGCTCTGAGACGACTCACCTGTCTCCTTTGGCTCTGCGTTTCGGGACGCTCTTGCCTTTGGGTCTCCTCTCACTGCCCACACAGTGAGCTCCTCCGGGACCCGTCACCCGCAGAGACTCGAGACCCTTGGAGGACTTCTTGAACGTGAACTCGACTGCCTCGCCCTCCTTCAGACTGCGGAAACCCTCCATGTGCAGTTTACTCTGAGAAAAGCAGCAAAATGATGTAAGGATTTAAATTGTAAGGATGGAAATGCGAAACGTCTGTTAATGTACAGGACACTATTCAACGACAAAGGTCCATGAGGTCACCGAGGTGGTCCGGACATAATAAATGTTGTGAAATAATTGCCTAATATCGTATTAACACTACTTTAGTGCTGCAAGGATATTGCACAGCACCAATAACACCACTCATCAATCCCCAAATATTTTAGATGACCAATCAAATCAAAGTACACAGGCTTTATGTTCACAGAAGCCACTGATTCTAGCGCAACCCAACGCTTCAGTAAATGGTCATAATGCGATAAAATGTATACCTAAACTAAACATTTCATATTTGACAGCTGTTTTAGGATAGAGATGGCAAACGAATAAACTTTTGTCTAATTTGCCATTTTCTGAATTGAAAAAAGGCCTATATGTAATGTAATAATTAGTAACTGTCAATGTGAGGGGACAGGAAACATGAAGGAAGCCGTGTTCATCATATTAGGCATCAGATTAATAATGAACATGTACGTATTGTAAATACATTTTATAAACTTATTTACCTATAGTGTTCATAGCCTTCAGTAAATTAACCTGTCTAAGAAAATGATTCATAAAACATATAAATGTCAGTTGACTTTGTTTACTTCTTCTTATTTCTTCACTGACACAGACAAACATGAATAGACTATCAGTCAGAGCTCGGCTTTAGGAGGGAAAGAGACATGGCAGGATAATGAGACTGAGACTAAAAGAAAGAGTAGGCTAATGGAAATTAGGAGAGAGCATGTGTTGACAAATAATTTACTGCCCACTGACGTGGTTTTAAAGCTATTTCTTATCCATTTCTTTTGTCTTTCAAACGTCTTGAAATGCACATGTAGATCAGAAAAACCAACCTTATTTTGGGGGAGCCCCCGAACCCCCCTAACTAGCTCAAATTTGGGGCCGCCCGCAGTGATTTTAAAACGGCCCTGTCCGCATCTGTATGTGTGATTGTGTGATGTGTATTCTTATGGGATATGAAAGAGAAAGCGACTGACTTGTGTGTGAAAAACCCATGCTTCACCATCCCCCGACCCAGGTTACAGCATTCCTGATACACACACACACACATCCCCCCACAGCACACACACGTCTCACTCCCTGATCGCTGGGAAGGATGCTGGGGCAGGGGTCCACAAAAATTCTTCAAATGGTTGCTTGGATTGAGGGCGAACATATTCACTGTTATGAATGAGCTCTTGGCAAAGTGTAAATGTAGTACCTGAACTAATTATTTAAAATCCCCCTGTGGTGTTAATCCAGTTTATAATGTTGTTTATGTGGTGTTTTTAATATGCTTTAAGGGAAACCATGTGTAAGTTCATAAGTCGACAGCATTGCTGAGTATTTCCTCCTTAAAACTGCAGTGAACCAAAGACAGTCTCAAAAACACGGTTTGAAATCGCTGGTGTTTCTGACGTCACAAACGACCTTGTAACCAATCAGATCAACGTGTGATCGTCAACCAGTGGATCTCTGAGCTGAGTGAGTGAGTGGAGGCGGGGCTCGTTTGCATATTCATAGAACCGCGCATACTAAATGAGGCAAGGGTGTCGAGTTACATTCAAGCTATTTTGAAAACGTTTAAATATGTCATTTTGGTGATCAAAGATGAGTTTTAAGGGATAAAATTGACTACAGGGGGACTTTAAAGGAATATAGTGCTGTAAGGATGAAGTATTTTTGTGGGCCAAAGCCTGGAAACAGCTTCGCTTCCATCGTCATGAAGTCAATGGGTTTTTGGTTAAATGCCTGAAATAAGGTCTGGTGAACACAAGCTCAAGATATTTTCACGCTTTATTCTACGACATTAAATACATCAGTAATACCCTTTTGTGATTATTTTAAATCTTTTACTTGGCTATCGTGTCTAAATGGACTATGAGGTTGTCAGGGACATTAAACGTCATCCTGTAATGAGTATAGCCTTTATGTTTAGCTTTTTACTTCTGTATTCAGGCTTCAAAATCCCAAAGAATTTGATATCATCAAATACATACTTTTCATAAATTGAAAAGATTATCATGATGAACAAAAAATTATTTTATTTTATTATTTTCTGCAATAATCTATAAGCAAATGGAAAAATCCTATTGGTTTTTTGTTAAAGTCCCACTGTAGTCAATAATTTCATTCCTTAAAAACTCATCTTTGATCACCAAAATGACATATTTAAACGTTTTTTTTCCTTGAAAAAAATTCTTCGTGCCTTAAAATATCTTGAATGTAACTCGACACCCTCGCCTCATTTAGTATAGGCTTTTCTATAAATATGCAAATGAGCCCCGCCTCCACTCCCTCACTCAGCTCAGAGATCCACCGGTTGACGATCACACGTTGATCTGATTGGTTACAAGGTCGTTTGTGACGTAAGAAACACCAGCGATTTCAAAGCGTGTTTTTGAGACTGTCTTTGGTTCACTGCAGTTTTAAGCAGAAAATACTCAGCAATGCTGTCGACTTATGAATTTACACATGGTTTGTCTTAAAGCATATTAAAAACACCACATAGACACATAAACAACATTAAAAGCTGGATTTTCACCACAGGGGGACTTTAAGGGAACCAGGGTAATGCAAGCTTATGAGTTGGCCTAAAATAAATATGTCATCGCTGCAGCGCTCTATAGTTTACCCATCATTTACTCACGCTCATTGGATGCTCTCTTTGATGGTAAATAAAAAATAATAATTCTTAAAGTCGATGTGAAGGGAAATTTACCCTTTCTATTTTTTCTATGCATGTTCTTATTCTTATTGTCAATTCAACGATTCAATGTTTAATCAAAGTCACAACTCAATCTTCAGAAGTCGCTTGAGAAGTATGTGGAAGTAAGAGTAGCATGGGCCACTTTTATGTTCTTTGAAGCTTGAAAGCCTCAGTTATTGTCATCGCATTCAACAGAGCGAGCAGCGCAGTCCTCAAACAATTCACCTTTTGTGTTCAGTGAAATAAAGAAAATCTAGAACAACATGAGGTGGGTGAATGATGACTGAAATTTGAAGCCTTTTACAAGTCATATTCATAGATAACTAATGCTACCTTGTAGTTTATTAGATATTAGAAATCTACCATCTGCACAGAATGGCATTATATTCATGCATTAAAACAAATGCATTGCTGTTCTTCTTAATGTTGCCTTTCAAATTCTTCTGCCACCAACCAATGGCAGCAATGTTATGTCATACAGTAAATGCATTACACAACTGCAGACCTCATCGTGTTGATAAACACAACGAGCCGAAGCAAGAACAGCTTCGACATGATGGATTATGAGCGAGTATCTCACGAAACATGTCCGATATATATACATACACTCACCGGCCACTTTATTAGGTACACCTGTCCAACTGCTCGTTAACACTTAATTTCTAAGCAGCCAATCACATGGTGGCAACTCAGTGCATTTAGGCATGTAGACATGGTCAAGACAATCTCCTGCAGTTCAAACCGAGCATCAGTATGGGGAAGAAAGGTGATTTGAGTGACTTTGAACGTGGCATGATTGTTGGTGCCAGAAGGGCTGGTCTGAGTATTTCAGAAACTGCTAATCTACTGGGATTTTCACGCACAACCATCTCTAGGGTTTACAGAGAATGGTCCGAAAAAGAAAAAACATCCAGTGAGCGGCAGTTCTGTGGGCGGAAATGCCTTGTTGATGCCAGAGGTCAGAGGAGAATGGCCAGACTGGTTCGAGCTGATAGAAGGGCAACAGTGACTGAAATAACCACTCGTTACAACCGAGGTATGCAGCAAAGCATTTGTGAAGCCACAACACGCACAACCTTGAGGCGGATGGGCTACAACAGCAGAAGACTCCACCGGGTACCACTCATCTCCACTACAAATAGGAAAAAGAGGCTACAATTTGCAAGAGCTCACCAAAATTGAACAGTTGAAGACTGGAAAAATGTTGCCTGGTCTGATGAGTCTCGATTTCTGTTGAGACATTCAGATGTTAGAGTCAGAATTTGGCGTAAACAGAATGAGAACATGGAACCATCATGCCTTGTTACCACTGTGCAGGCTGGTGGTGGTGGTGTAATGGTGTGGGGGATGTTTTCCTGGCACACTTTAGGCCCCTTAGTGCCAATTGGGCATCGTTTAAATGCCACGGCCTACCTGAGCATTGTTTCTGACCATGTCCATCCCTTTATGGCCACCATGTACCCATCCTCTGATGGCTACTTCCACCATGTCACAAAGCTCTAATCATTTCAAATTGGTTTCTTGAACATGACAATGAGTTCACTGTACTAAAATGGCCTCCACAGTCACCAGATCTCAACCCAATAGAGCATCTTTGGGATGTGGTGGAACGGGAGATTCGCATCATGGATGTGCAGCCGACAAATCTGCGGCAACTGTGTGATGCCATCATGTCAATATGGACCAAACTCCCTGAGGAATGCTTCCAGCACCTTGTTGAATCTATGCCACGAAGAATTGAGGCAGTTCTGAAGGCAAAAGGGGGTCCAACCCGTTACTAGCATGGGGTACCTAATAAAGTGGCCGGTGAGTGTATATTGCATATGAGCAGAAAGGTTTATTTTCATGACTGTGAAATGCATCTTATCTCCCTCCTCCAACTGTCAATAGCTTACAGTTATGCAAAAAAAACAAAAAAAAATAACAACAACACATACATTCTCATTACTGTAATTCAGAAATTATTACATACGTTTGTAAAGTAATATCAGGTGCCCTGAAATTAATTGATACTCATTTTATTTAAATCATGCTAAAAGCCATTGTGTCAGGACAGGATGATTTTTTTATTATTGTATTACAGTAATGAGAGTGAGCTTTTTTATATTATACTAAGAGGGAATTTAACGACAACATGCATACAATTTTTATTTTCAGCAGGAAAGATAAAAACCTTCAAGCATCAAGCTGACAGTGTTTTTAAATAACAATTGAAATGAACATAATTGCTTTGTCTATACCTGGTTAACAAAAGTGTTATTTCCCATGAAACCCCAAAGAAATCAAAAGTACGGCCATCTGGCACAAGCATTATATCAGTTTATGAGCGGTTTATGAAACCGAGAATTAAGAAACCATCAAAGTATTCTAGTTCTCTTGGGTATTTTATATAGGATTTTAAGAAAAAGGCAGATAATAATGTATCAAACACCGTCAGTGGATCATTTGGCCGTAGATGACTATAGGTCTTCTTATTGACGTGATGTAAACGGCCCCACGAGGATCTGTAGTAGTGTTTGCTTTGAGGAAACATTGCTGGTTACAACTATGTTGTGGCAGATGCGGTGTTCCCTTTCAAGTACGTCCATTGTGTGTGGGTCAAAGTGACCGTTAACGTATTTCCCTAGACACGTGTGACCCCCAACCCCCAGTTTCCCTTCCTCCCGCTGACAAGCCCTTCCCACAGTAAAAACCCAAGGAAGAGAGCGTGTCCACTGGATCTGTACTGGACATGGATGATCCATTAGGTGATGGAGAAATCACAAGCAAGCAGGTTTTGACATAATAAGAAGCAAAACGCCACAGATATAGAAAGGATCTGTCACGCTCTTCTTCTTTTGTTTGCACTCACAAAGACCAGCAGCGGAGTTGATGTTGTGTAGCGGAGGCCAAACGTGTGTGTAGCACGTGGACCATCAGTGAATTAGTCTATTAGTGTTACTCGATCTTAGTGCTGCATTTGACACAATTGACCACAACATTCTTTTAAATAGACTAGAAAACTATGTTGGCATTAGTGGAATTGCACTAGCATGGTTTAAATCATACTTATCTGACCGTTATCAGTTTGTAGCAGTAACTGAAGAGATGTCTTATCGATTACAAGTTCAGTATGGCGTACCACAAGGCTCAGTACTAGGACCGTTGCTATTCACTCTGTACATGCTACCATTAGGAGATATCATTAGGAAACATGGAGTTAGCTTTCACTGTTATGCCGATGATACTCAGCTGTATATTTCTTCAAATACATATTTTCAAAAGCACATAACTATAGAATCAATTCTGAATGTGCATGTGAACGCCGTCAGCGTTAATCACAGGTTCACGTTTAAAGTCTGATCATTTCGACGGAGGTGAATCAATCCAAAATAACTTTAGCTGGAAATAACATTATTCAAGAACCGCTATAAAGCCAAAACAATCTCTGTTACCTTAAATTATGTTTATCTCTGTAAAGCTGCTTTGAAACAATCCATTGTTAAAAGCGCTATATAAATGAATATGACTAGAATCTGGCCACTGTCGCCTTGGGCTTTCTTAGTTGGGCTTTAAAAGACACTTAATATTCGGTAATATTATCGAGTTGACCGCACTGACACTATTGGATGCGAACAAAACTTGAGCTGAATAACGCCACTATCGTCTTCTGTAGAGCTGCTCATAATTGTTTCATAATTGGTGAACTTTCCACCGTTATTGACCTGAACTGAATCAACACTGAACTGACTGGAGCTGAAAAATGAAACTATTGTCTTTTTAGAGCTGCTTTACAGTCTTATATTTAAAGCTGCAGTCCATAGCTTTTTTAAGTTAAAAATAATCCAAAATAATTATATATAAAAAAACTTATTCTGCCAGTGGTCAAAACTATCTGCTTGCCATAGCTAGATTCAAAACGGTTAGCTTGTAATAATGATTTTAATTCCAGTGGTACTGGTGGGTTTCCGCGGCAAATTCGAGCATGTCTTTGCGTCATGACGTCACACCCGTACACATAAAGAAGGAGTTTCGGCTAGCCGGCTATACTGCGCGTGACGAGATGTTTAGATGTATAGGCTTTTCTCGCAGCACTTTACATAATTAAACTTATGGCATCCAGAAAGATCCAGACAACAATCATCAGTGTCAACTGGAGATTCAGCAGTTATAAAACCCAAAAGACTTCGTACTTCGGATTTAAGGTGGCTAGAGAAAGAGAAAGAAACCGTCTCATGAGAACACAAGGATTTAAACATCGGCGGGGCTTTTGAGAAGTGCGTGAACTCCGTGTTTTGAAGGGGTTCGAAACGGAAGAAGAGACGGCTTTTTTCTGCTGAACAAGTAAGACATTTCAATAGTTCAATCGTGTAACAGTACGTTTTCTTAATTCACACAGTTATGGAGTTTCCTTTGTTGTGCCTTTCTCGTTTTGCTATTATGGAGAATATGAATTCTGAACTACACAGGTAACCATAAAACACATTAAATTTAACATTAGTCATGCAATGCTGATGTGATGTTGTTAACATGAACAATTTGAGAACAAAGTAGGCTATAATTTGCTCGGTTGCTGTAAATCGCGTTGATTAAATCTAACGAAGCTTATCATGTCGAATGCTTTTTCCCCCTTAGTTGGTCAGAACAAAAATGGATTTTACTTACTTGTTCAGAAGACATTTTCTTATGAAAATTCTAATGTTGGTCAAACTTTAAAAAAGTGAATCTGTGATTCTGTATGACAGTATCCACACAGCGCGGTGACTGACAGCAGCACTCGCCTCAATGCACTGTGTTCATCCGCGCTGTTTCATGCCGATTTACAACCCACGTAAAGATGATAATTCCGCGAATCACTGCAGTTATAGATTTCGAACAGAGAGATGATTCCACAAAGAGGAAAAGCTACGGACTGCAGCTTTATTGAAGTTTGCATAATCGTTCATTCTATTATTATTTTCCTGTTTATTACTGTGAAGATGCTTTGAAACAATCGGATCTCTGGGATTTAACCATATAGGGCCTTAAAAATGAAGATGCCAAAAGAAATGATTGTTAAAAAGCTAAATATACAAGACTATTAAGATATCTTTTATATACTTCTTGAGTTACAGGCATGCAAACTAGGGGACTCGGTCAGCGTTGGCATATAATGCAACAAAGATTGCTCAAGTCAACATCTTTTCAGATTTTCACAACTAATAGACCTACCAATCTCTGTGTAAATATAATATAATGAGGCTGCCATCTTTCTGAAGTCCTTTATAATTTACAATCATGTAATTTGGCTCCAAATCTCAGGTGAAATTTGTCATTTTTACCCCCTCTACAAAAGAGTTGATTACTCAATCAATACACACCCATTACATTTAATATTTTGACTTTCATCACTATTTATAATATCAAACAAAATCTCAAATTTGAGAAGCTTGGTTGATTTGACATGGAAAAACCCTATATAAATAAAGGTGACTTGACCCGTTTGGGGTCAGTTCCTACTTTGTCCATGTTTAATGGACATTTCATGTTTTCAAATATTTCTAATGAGTTTATACTCTGTGAAACAAATGTCCATTTAACCTCAATTTTGCATATGTATAATATCATTAAGTTGTTAATTAAGGTGTTATATCAAACATCTGGCTCCATTGAAAAGCCTTGACAGATCTTCAGTTTGCTCACTGACAGGCATGTACACTGTCCAATACTACTCTTAATCTGCTGTTCATGGGGATTGGGATGTGCTAAATGTGCCGAATAATACTAAATGAAGGTACACATTCCTGGTCTATATGAAGTGCCAGCAGCTCTCGGGACACAAATGGCCACCCAGTTGGTCACTCATACAAAGGGGCTCCTAAATGTTTCTCCGCATATCTGTGGCTAATGACTTTATGACAGGAAACAAGATTAAAGGGGTCATCCTTGAAAGTGCTCTTGCTGACAGGCCAGACTATTGTTTTAAGACATGGCACTTACATGGGAAATGAGAGGTGAGAGAGAAACACTAACCATACCAGGCTGGAGCAATGCAGAAGTTCAAATACTTTGGGCAGTGAATCTGTTTGCCTAGTGTTTGGACAATCAGGAGTGATTGGATTTGCCATTTAAGAGCAAGACTAAGCCAATTTAGATGTTGGCTTTCCAAAGCATAACAAATAGGTAATACAACCCCCATTGAAATTGAGCGCTGCAGGGATGACGTATATATTTTTAGGCCAAAGCACAGAAAAGAAAAGCATTTTACCACTTCCGCTTTTTGTTGAGGGAACCAGGGTGATGCGAACTTGGTCTATAAGATTATTATTGGGACCTAAACATTATTCTCTATTTGATCTAGCTGATTTATTTCAAACTAAATAACCTGCTGTCCATATGTTTCTCAGCACTTACCTGATGGACAAACACGTCAACTGGAGTTTCTAAAGGCACACCGTCTCGTCTGGTCATAGATAGGAATCCAAAACCCATCCGAACATTGAACCACTTGCATACACCCACACCATGGTAGGACTGAGGGTCTTCCTCGGCGGCCTGCCCCTCCTCCTCCTTGGTTTTCGTACACCCTCCTGCAAAACCATTTACATTTACCATCAGAGGGGAAATAAATGCATGTGTGTGCATGTGAAATTTCAAAATTCGAATATAACAGAAAGAGTAAAAAACAATTGCCCGAAATGATCTAGAAACCATCAGTGGTTGTATTTAAAAAAAGAATGACACATTATTTTAGGCCTGGTTTCACAGACAGAGCTTAGATTAAGCCAGGATTAGGCCTTTGTTCGATTAGGGCATTTCAGTAGCTTTTATAAACGTGCCTTAGAAAAGAAAAAAAAACATTACTGGTGTGCATTTTGAGGCAAAACATTGGCAGTCACATATTTTAAGATTGCTTTCAGTTAAAACAGCTCAAACATCCATTTTAGTCTGGGTCATATTTGCACGTTTACGATTAAAGTGGCGTAGACATGTGTGGCATGAAACACATTTTTATTTAAGCAGAATAACAATGTAGTGTTATTACTATATATATATAAATATATTCTCATATTTTTATTTGACTAAATAATTTACATCAGAACATGCTGACGTTTTATAGTGCAGAAAGCTGGAAATAATTAGTAGTATGGCAAGCTGTTTTGACTTTTCTTCATTCAAAGGATATGAATTCTTGATATCAACAATTAAATTCTTCTTTAATTGTATTTTCACTAGTTAAATGTGAGGCTGCCATTCAAATTCAAGTGTTGATCTCTAGTTGAAATTCCAATTTCACATATCAGAAATACAATTTCTTACTAATAAAAATCATATTATTTGATACCAAGGTTAATAGCGCAAATGTCTATTATTGATATCAACAATTGAATTGCAACTATTATTTTTTTCATTGTTGATATCAATAATTCGATTGTCATTCATTGAAATGTTAATTTCTGATATCATGAATGTGATTGTTACTACTAAGAAAGCCATTTTAAATATCTGAAATTACTCTCATATTTATTGATATCAGAAATACATTTTCAGATATTAGAAATGTAACATGCTGAACTACATTTACAGATATCACGAATTAACATTTCAACTAGTGAAAATTGAGTTCTCGATATTATTTTTTGTTTACAAGTAGGCAAACCACGTAATTGTTGATATATTATAGGTCTATATCAATTTAAAAATCTATTACTTTAATAATGCCTCTCATTGGCAACACATGCTGGCTCTTTAGGTGTTTCTCTCCAAAGTGATGGAGACTTTCCAAATGTGCGCTAACATGGTGAACCCCGACGAAGAAAACACTCCTGTCCTGTTCGCTACTTCACCTGGATAGTCCTGTTGTAAACCTGAACCCATGGTGAGCGGAATTAAATCCTTCCCTTCTGCGACCAGCACGGGCCTTAAACCTTCCTCGAGTCTCATGTAAAACACACTCTCACAACTCAAGAAGAAACGGGAGCAAAACAAAGAGGAGCTCCACGATAACCTCACTTACACGAGTCCTGCACGAGGGAGTGGAAAACCACACGGAAACATGAAAGACAATGCAGGCAGGGACCCCCAGCCCCCCACGGCCCCTGAACAAGCAACACCTTGATGAAGAGGGCCAGAACCTCGAAATTAAAATGCCATACCCTCTGCCATGGGCTCCACTCTGTGCCTGTTGAGTTCGGGATGTTTGCGTTAAATCTCGTTTTCTCCAGGTGATCTCTCAGGATCGGTCACTGCTCTGTACTGATGCTTCTCATGCTCGACCCTCTCTCTCTCTCTCTCTCTCTCTCTCTCTCTCTCTCTCTCTCTCTCTCTCTCTCTCTCTCTCTCTCTCTCTCTCAGTTTCGGTCAAGTCCACGTGATTCCCAACCACTCTCCCCTCCAGGATGACCAACACATTCCTCAATGCATATCCCCCCCCCCCCCCCCCCCCCCCCCCCCCCCACACACACACACACACACACACACACCACCCAGTCCAAAACAGACCAATCACACAGAGAGGGTCCGGCCCCCAACTCTTCCACACATAGGTGACCACAACAACCCAACTTTAGATATTCGTTTGACACTTTGGAAAAGGTGAACATTAATGCGCGCGTTTCGCCTACATGCACGCTCTCAAGCCGATTATGCGTAATAAGCCGACAATGCAAGTGGTCATGTAAACGCGTTTTCCTCTAATCGAGTACGGATAAGCATTAAACCGATCGGAACAGCTCGATTTTTGTCTTTTTTACCCCCATATCGCCCGGCATGTAGGCTTAAACACTATTTTTCGACCCAAGAAATTTAAATTATAAAAAAAAAATGTGTTCTCATCAAAATACTGCATGAGAGGATATGAGTCCGTAAAACAACTGGTTATTTTAATAAGCTAATTTCTGGGAGTTATTACTGAGTGCATGTTAAACGTGATTATGTTGCACTGACAGGATCAAATTTTGCATCGTCTTTCTTTGGATAGGCTATTGGCTAATTTGTCATAACGAGATATTTTAATAGCTAATTCTTAACAGTGTGTTTGTTTCATTAACTTGATTTTTTTTTTAGATGTTTCTAAATGAAATGGTCTCAACATGTTCAAAAAGCCATGCTGCAGTTCCTGATCATTGACCGTGGTTTGAAGGATTGCATCGTCAAAGCATAAACCAAAAGTAGGCTATAGCCTAATTTAAATTATCTCACGAACAAAAAATAATAATGAAGAATTAGGCTACAACTAATTTTAATATCCAAACATTCAAAAGATTCTAGCTGAGGATTCATGTGCACCACTTTACAAAATCATCGTGTTTTACTAACATTTAAATTGTAGGCTATTTGTAAATATTCCCAATTGTTTATAAAACAAGAGCATTATGGAATAAAATCTGGGTAAATTATGAAATGTTGGCTAAAAGTTGCATAAATTAATTTTAATTAATGCAACACTTGTTTGTTGTTCCGTCGTGCACGCGCAGAACAAACAAAACATAGTTTAGCCTATAGCCTACTGTCATCCACCGACCTTATTTATTCAATAGCATATGATCAATAATAC